GTTGTGGCTGTTGAAAACAGCATTGCAAGTGAATCCTGCTTCATCCGTAAACAGAATGCAATTTAAAAAGTTAGGGCGTTCACGACATTGCTATAACAACCATTCGCAGTAAATTACACGACATGCAAAATCAGCGGGCTCCAAAGCTTGCACTTTTTAAATGTGGTACGGATGTAAGCCTTGCTCTTTTAATGTATGATGCACTCCAAATTGTGAAACTCCAACTTCAGCTGCAAGTCGGCGGGTAATGATGTCGGGCTCTTCTTCGACGTGTTCCAAAATTTGTTCTTCAGCTTGCGGTATTCTTTCTGTCATATCACGGCCACGATCGTGAGTTTGAGACTTGAAGGTACCATCATCTCGGAGATGTTGTACCACTGATGTAAACGTTCGTCCACACGCAACCTGGCTTTTCCATCAGCCACACCATAAAGCATTACCATGTCGAGACGATCTGAATTGGAAAAAATTCACCATTGTCGAAGACGTTAATTGAACAAACGCACTTTTTTGGTTCTTAATCCTAGTCGTTCTGTGCCATTCATTGAATAGTAGTATGGTACCAGTGACGTGCATAACAATTTATATTTAATTTCAATAAATCTTATTGTGAGCTATTCCCCATTTTTTTTATTGCACTCATTTCGAAATCACCCTGTATTCGGTACTTAAATGAGAAACTTTATTTCAAATTTGCAAGTTATTTAATGTTGGCGAAAGCAATTAATAATAATTGTCAACTTTTAAATATCTTTGAGAATTTTGAAATACCGGTCCGGAGAAAAAGAGAGGAGTCTTGGGCAGTAGGGAATAGATTATGAAGTAATTGTCTTAACAGTTCATAGGTCTGAAGAACTGCCCTTTCAGTTGTCACATTAGGAATATTCAATACATTTTCAGCCATTATTTTCAACAGAAACTACGCCTAATCGTTTAGTTAGCGAAATCAACACCTTCTGGATTAACACGAATAACATCAGAACGACATACTGCAAATCCACATATCCTGAAAGCTCTAGTTCCAGAAACATTAATCATGTAGTGCAATTTCCGACGAGTGCAGCAATTCTTGACCTGCTTCACCCAACACTTCGAAAAACCTCGCGAACAAATTCCCGTGAGCGTCCCGACAACGACCTGGGTTAGGGTGAAACTTCTGTGCCCGACAGCGTAAAATTTTAATCCACCTTCCTTTACATGATTTAAGACTCCGGCATGCTCCCTCTGGACATATAAAACGTGTCGTAAATTTAAACCCGACCGGCTGATTTTCGCTGGGTCACGTACCTGAAATAATTCACTTGTTTTACGATCTACGATGCAACTTTTCCGGTCATGTTAAGATGAGTTATGCAGATGACGACAGGGGCTGTTAACGGGTCAGAAGACATTAGACCATTAGATATCCCGTCGATGAGTTTTTCAGTGAATGAGCTCGCCGCAAAACGGTAATTTCTAATTACTAAGTTTGAGGCAAGTTCGCTTCGGAGCGATTCCCTTTGATAGGCTGCGGACGCCCACATAGTACATTACAATTCGGGACGCGTCGACGTTTTGGACAACGCGGGGCGAGAGATTATTATCATTGGGGAAGTAGAGGGAAGTGTATTAATTTTCAATTCGGCGAACAGTTGGGGAGAATGATGGCTTTCGCAAAGGATCATGTAAATGCGGATAATTAAGAAGGGGAGATAAAAAGTGCATTAAAGAAAGTTTTAGCTACTCTTTATTACATTGTAGGTGGTTTGACTTTCATTGAGTATGCCTTTTATTGCTATTTCTTGGAAATTTATTCCAATTAAATTATTAAATTATCTTGATGGCAGTCAGATGATTTTATACGACATAAAAAAATTGAAACAAATTCATTTTCTTATATTACTTCTTTATTCCTAAGTTCTTATTACGTTATGTGTAGGAATGGAGCCACTTAATATTTCCGTTCGTACCGTTTCTTTGCCTCTTCTTTCCGTCTTTTTCTTGGCCTGCTTCTGCTGTTTTCCTGTTAGTTTGGCTTCTGACATTCTGGTTCTAACCAACCCAATTGTGCACGTGTCTCCCAAAATTAAAACGTCTATGAACACACTGGACATAGCAAATAGTAATTTCCGATATTTAAAAAATTATCCGGAAATTTGTGTCATAATTATCAAAACTAATTTTTTTATCTGGTTCCATTTATATGTATAAAATGTATCAAAACTTATATCTAAAGATGTTGTGTCTTGGGTATATGATACATTGCTGAAGTGTTGATAAAAACAAAGACCAAATTATGCCTCATTTAGACGTTTTGTTTGCACCGTTTCCATGGAAACTGTGCGTCTAGTCGCTGTATTCAGCTACAATCGGGTCCTGCTCGAACAGTGACCACTACCAGTAACTCAGTTGCGGAATTTCATTTTCATTCTGCGTGAGTGCAAGTGTTGATTTTACATAAAAATAATGAATTCAGTTGAATCCATATTTAATAAAAAAGTGTATTCTGACTTACAACGGTAAAATTTTAATGAAAAATTTATGGAGAGCAACCCCCGGGAGACTTTCATGGATATTTTAATAAGCATGGTAAATTTTTGTGAATGTGCGGTTGTGAAAAAAATAACAAATTATTTTGTTTTGTGCGTCTCCTCAGTAATGATTTAAAACTAAAGGTATGTGGACAAGTGCTTTCTTACTTTTCTTGAATGTATTTTTGTATTTATTTCTGTCACACAATTTCGTCTATTAATTGGTAACAACACCTTGCTTTATATCTTCATATTTAACTCATGGATCAAATTGTGTCCCCCCATTTCAAAAAGTCACGAACCGCCACTGCAGGTTTTATTTCCAGTTTTCCTCCAAATGCTACCTTTCCAAAACTATCAGTCCTTAAATTCCCATCTATTTTTTTAAGGAAACTCATCTCAGTCTCATCTCCCTTTTCGTAGGTGTCCAATCTCAGTCGGTTTTTCTTGAGCATTTTGTTTAGGGTGGTTATGTTGTTGTAAATTAATTTTTTTCTGCTCCAGCATTATTAGAATATTATCCGCACTAGATTTTGTGTTCTACTATCTTTTTATATTGCATTCTCTTATACTTCTTAACTGTTTGAATATTTCACTGTGCTATAAAACATTTTTTTCTTGTCCCTAAAATCGTTAATTTTTTGGCCAAATTTTATCCACAATTCGTTTTTGGCGTTTTAAACTTTCGATTGAGTTCTTTATTGTTTCTTGATGGGGTTTTTTTTTTGTTTAGCTTTTGTAGCGTAAATGCGGGGCGTTTCATTAGACCCCTTTTGAGGACGCTGCCGTACGAAGCGAGGCGATCTTAATGAACCACCATAAAGCGCTTTCATTGCCTGTCGCCCCTACCATGGTCCAGGGTAGAAGGGACAACCGCTATAAAAGGGCTGCCGCGATTGCACTAAGTGACAAAATAGTGTCTACAACGAGGGATCACGTAGAGAACCGCAATTCCACGCCACCCGAGACGAGAAGCTTTTCCCGCGAAGTTGCACATTGCACGAAGTAGAGCAATTTCATCCGAACCTTGACGTTCTTCAATCCCTATATTTGACTTGTACATATATTTAACAATAAATTGTTTGTACCACCTCTACAATAACGATTTTCACCACTATTGATAATGATAAATATTTGAAAACCCCACCAAAAATTTAGCAATAGGCCATGAGCTGTGAACGTTAACAAAATGTAACCCAACGTTGTGCTTTTGAAATGGAGAAATGCGTTCTAATCCAAATTGATGAACCTTGAATTAAAATGGAAATATATGCGGGTAACAGCTTTTATTAAAGTGCTGTCTCAATCAAGCATTTGGTACTTCTCTATACGAGGGAAAGACAATGAAATACGTCTGAGACACCGTACATTTTTAATTACAAAGCCTCCTCGCTCTTTTCAAATACAAGAATAGAAATTTATATCGCTGATATACAGCTCATTGTGTCATCAACACCATTTTCTGGTTTGAATCATCTTATTTAAAATTAAAGCTATTAGTCGGTTTGGTACAAACTTAAATATAAACAAAATCAAAAACCACATCAGCAGTCCAAATCATAGATCACGATTTCTGGGTCGATACCTCTGATCAAGGCGATCGAGTGTCTTTACATTTCTATGTTACGTTGCGTTATCCACGAACTTCCGCACACAGCCACCCCTTGTGAGCAAGACCTGATGCATTCGGACATGACATCCGAGCCCAACTCAGACTACCCATCCATAGGCACCCCAGTTCGAACAGAAATTTAGAAAAATTGAAATTGTTAACCCCCAAGCTAACAATTTTGGAATTAGCCTGCCAGATTTTAAAGCGTTCATTTAACCATTGGTGTTGAAAAGCCTGACACATGGTAGCTAACATTTCCGAAGTTAAGATTCGGATTAAATGAATTGACGAAAACTGCAAAACAAAGAAATTTTCTTTGCAACACACTATAGCAAATGAAAACGATAAGTTTTTACAAGATATTAAATTTTACGTTAATTCAAGTTATTGCCTAAATCAAAATGAACTCATTAAGATTATAGTGTGAACCGAATACCATCGCACATAGCAAACATACATGAAATAAACACAAGTACATATTAAATATGGTCTAAATCAGAATATCGTGATTTTGGTACACCCTTCGCTGTGAGAGGAGTGTTTGAGAATAAGTGACAAAACAACACAAAATAAGGGTAAAGTACTTTTCGCGGTTTCGACTTCACGATGACATTTATTTAAGGGATGATATGTTTCAAATTGGATCAACGTTTATATTAAATTTTGAATAGTACGAATTATTATTTTAAAATCTCAAACGAGAAGTTATTAAATTAACATTTACATACATCGCTAGATGACGCCATCAACTTTTTACAGGAAATGAATAAACAAATTTTAATTAAATGAGAAAACAAGGAATTAACTACTCATTAAAATGATTGTCGTATATATTATTACTCACAAAGTAAAAACTAAAGCAAAAGATTAACTGCTGGACAATTTACAGTTGCCACTATTTGTACTGTCCAACAATGAAAGGAAAAGGCGTTTTGTGGGTGGAGGGGTGGGGGAATGAAACCACCTTCTGCACTAAACACTCTATTCCTATGTAGAAATATTTCAAAATATAAATATAATATAAAAAGTTGAAAACTAAGATTGTGCATCTCTTGATTTCTCAAACACTCCGAATCTAAAATGATTAGACTTTTCGCTTGCCTAAAATGTACTCCTATTTGTTTAGACTTTTATAATTAAATCGTAAATCTGCGACTTTTCATTGAGTCCTAATTTATGCGTCGGGTTGCTGAGAAGACCTGAAGTATAAACAACGTTCATATCAAGTTCTCTGAAAACTTTCCAAATACTTCGGTGATATCTTATCCCTAATACCTACGGCGAAATCGTTGAGCCTGACTATATCTTCAAGGATTTTAAACTTATATGCCTAGCTTTGATTCATGTAAAGGGAAAGTGAAACGTCTGTTGACCAGAAAATTCGGATTTGCTATCTGCAGTTAGTGAATAGACGGAACTGTTATTTATTGTTATGTTTAAGAATGAGCGAGGTGAACTTATTATTACTAAAAGTTACCCATTGATATCATCGAACCTAGTGGATCGAACCGTCGCTAAGTTAAAATAATAAAAATGTCAATCCACGTATCTCAGTTAAGTGCCTCGAAAGTGTTCGGCTTTCTGTGGAAATAGGTTCATAAAAACGGTGTCATCCATGAAGCGATAAATTACTCACCTTTGTTGCTAATGCCATAGGAGAAATTGCCCGTAAAACTGAAAAATGATTTGATAAATATATGTTTTGATTTGCTGGTTCCCGTCGTTTGAATCGGCAATTCATAAAGTTAGACTAAAGTTTGTCAACGTTTAGGAACAACACCATTGAATACTTGATTGGAACACTTAATTGTTTGACAGATGAGTATTAGATTCGTTGTTTAACTGCTTGGAAAGCGTAACTCTAAATAACTTGGCTCATCGATTTACCAGAATAATACATTCTTCGCTAGTAATACAAACTGAAGATAAATGAATTGGAAATATTCAGTTTAAATCTAGTTGTGAGTGTTATGCTGATGGATTTTTTATAAGAATTATAAGAAAAAAGGTGACCGACTCTCTCCAGACAGTCCTTTCTACTTAAGACAGAAAAAAAACACCTTTGTCACTTTTGTCTACATTCACCTAAAAACTAAACTTTTCTTTCATAAAGTCTCTTGATGTCCTTAACCATCACTTTTTTATAGCATCTGACGAATTTAGTTTCTATCAGTTAATGAGTTTCTATACAACTGGGATTGTTGACTGCAAGAGAGTTAACAAAGGACACTTACAATTATGTGTTGTCATTATTGTTTTTATTGCATTCGATCGTGTGAAACGGTCCATGAAAATAATCATAGTTGTTCCTTGTATGGTTTATTCTTTTTGCATTCTACTACTGCATTTGTTGCTGAAACTACTTATTAGGCGAGGATTACGCGAGTACTTTGGAATCCAAGCTTCCACGGTGCAAATTGTTTATTCTTCCATTATTTAAGTATGAACAGTCGAGCAAAAAACAAAATAGAATGAAAATAAACTCCGCAGCGGGAGGACGCGAAGCGACAGCGGAGCGAAGGGCGTCTCTTCATGAAAGTCTATTTAAACACTGGCATTCCTTCTATTCTTGCAAAGGACGCAGCCAACTAAACGTCCGGATTCATTAGGGATGAAATTCCGGTATAGCAGATAAACATTTACCTGAAAACGGCAAGAAGAGGAAAGCTTTCAATTGAGTATGTGTTTCCATCACTCCGTGGAATTTTAAGAATAGCAGTATTATAATTGCAAGAAAGGAAACAAGCAAAATTAAATTATGCCACGCATAGTGTGGTAATGTGGCGTTAGACCTGAATAAGTGAATTTCCTGTTACGTATTCTAAATACAGATCTACTTGATTGTAGCTACATTGTAGTAGAATCAAAAAGTGTGATTTTACAAACAATAAAACAAAAATAACACGTGATGACGAATAGTTAAAGTTCTACACACTTCAAATTAGAAAATCATTAATAAACTCATCGCACTAGTTACACTCATTGAGAAGGACTGTGGTGTCGAATGCGATTCATTTTTGTTTAAACAATTCCACGAAATGAGGGAGATTTTCAGTACTCTATATTCGAAAGTCTTGTAGATTAACATATCCAGATAGGTGGAACCAAGCTTCATCGTTGAAGTATTATGATTGTACTACTGTGTGTACTACCCATATTCCGGTGAAAGAAGCTCCTACACCTTGGTAATCTTGTAAGGATACAAGTTCAACCTTCTTTTAACAATTTTGTGGCAAGTGCTGACTGGAACGTCCGTTGGAAGAGATAATCTCCGCATAAAATATTCTTGGGTTCGGTTCATTGTTTCTCTCACGTTTTCAAAAATCTCTTCAGACACACCAGGCCGTCCAGATAATTCGCTCTTGTATACTACTCCCGTCTTAGTAACCCGGTTTACATCTCCGGTCTGCGTCTGTAAAAAAGAGTCTTAACCTTAAAACTAAGGAAACTGGGCTCTAAGTGATTAGGTGTGAGTAAAAATACAAGAAAATGACAATAAAAATATTGATTGTAAATTGTGCAAAGCTTTAAACTACTAATATTTTAGAATTTCGAGTATCTTTGTGCTTATCTTTCCACCAACACCTATAAATTTTTACTGCGTCCCGTACAAAGAAAACGATTACGTTAAAATGATGACACAGGTGCTCACAGTCGATAACAAACCATTAAAATTGATTTTTTATCATAAACGCTGTTCCAATATTGCTCCAGCCGTAACTTCCGCGCGTTACATCCTTGTATATTTTAAGCTCACATCTCTACCTAACATGACCGGTCTCCGCGGCCTCCCTTGTTGCACTCCATTTTCGACTTTTCCCGTAATTCAATTTTTCCAGCGCGCCGACTTTTTATAACTTCCATTAATATCCCAATTAAAATTCAAACTGTGACGAAGTGGCTGCGAACCATTAATCATTTTAATCAGAAAATCCACCCCCTCGAAGTCGGCGAGATTTTTTATTCTTACACGAGATAAGTGAAAATCCTACGCAGAAAAAGGGGATGGAAGGAAAAATATCATCGCGAGAGGGAAGCTTTATACTTTTCATTCACAATAAGTCTTTCTCCTTTCATATCGACTTCTTCCCTAAAGACTCGGTCAATACACCACCAACGCCACCACGAATCAAACGAGTGGCGATGATTGGCACGAGATACGTGCGCTCCATTCGCTTCTTCTCTCTTTAATCCACCGTATTTCGGAAACTCGATGACGATACTTTGAATGCTAAGAGAAATCGGAAGGGGAATTTGCGGCGAAGAAGCGGTGGCTTGACGGTGACATCTGCTACAGGCAGATGTGGGCTGTTTGAATTGGCGACGTTGCAATATTTGCACTATTTAGAACCTGCACCAACTCAATTTGTCAGGCAGGAAGGATTTCGAGAAGTTCACGTTGCTGCAGCAACGTAGATTTGTGATAAAGATATTTGCGAAATGTATGTTGTAATCAACTGTTCAAGCTGCATTTTGGATATTTCCAGCAAGATACGGGGACAGCTCAGTCTACAGCACAAATACTTCAAACACAGCGAAGATAAATTTCTCGCTATCCTTGCAAAAATAATTAACCAAAATTGTAAGCTTTGGAATGATATGCACATCTCAATACCGGTTCGCTTTTATCTTCTTTTATATTCGCTGTTATTGTTTTTCGCTCACGTACAGACTAAATGGCTCATGTACGGTCTATTGAATCCATAGATGACCACTTTGGAACGCATCTTCTATTGTTGTCCATCGATCACTAGCCAGGACAATGGATGACCGAAATTTAATTGTGGAGTGGATACCAGGTAAAAAGGTAAATCCTCTCATGCAAAAGCACAATTCAACTTTTACGATAAATTACGGACTGCATGGAGAATATTGATCTAACTGACTCTTTATAACAATTGTTTCCATCGGTGGCCGGTGCGGCTTTGTTTGCTGTTGGTTTCCATTACATAGCAGGAAAGGTAAAATTTAATTACTTAGTTAAAAAGAAATGTACGAGTACTGTTTCAAGATAAAAAAAGTGGTTTAAGATTATTTAGACAGAATTTCTTTAGCCCTTGAGGCATAATTCAACGTATTCCGCTTCTTTGAAAATGATAAAATTTGATTTTGCGGAATTTTATTTTTTTATGAAAACCTCCAGAAGTTAAAACAATATATAGATTCATAGTGTAAGAAAAAAATCCGCATAAGGTAGGTTAATGAAATTCACGAAGGTTGTTATTAAATTTTGATATTTTGCAAAAATCTGAATGTCTAAAGAAAAAACTCAAGACGGATTCATAAACCACAAGTACACGAATATTCATATGATGCGATGACGTCATCACATTTTTGATGGAGACGATTGGACACATTGTGGTAGACAGCTTGAATTTATTCCACAATAGTACAAGAGTTTAGCTGACTGTGTATACTGATAAAAACTCGACTAACCTAAGAATAAAACAAATGAAATAATACAAAAAAAAATCAAGTTATATGGGTATAGATGTAAGTGATTCACAATATAGGTAGTTAGATACGAGAAAGATGATTTAAAACGAGCAGTCTTGGGAATTGGTATCGTCAATTGTTTATCAACAAATCTAAGCTCTCTACTTTGGAATCACTCCTTTTAAATAACTTAGAGAATAAATAATCAGGCACTTTTTAGTCAACACTTTGTTTACAAACGACACATCATGTATAAAACGTTGTTCATTAAGTTTAAGTTGGCCTAAAGATCTCAAATGTCACATGTTCAAAGCGTGGGACCTGGATCGTAAATCTCACACAAATGTACTGAATTTTTGTAACATATTTATGATTTTCGGTCAAACATGGACCATACACAAAGTTTTAATACGTCAAGTAAAAAAGAACGAGCGAATTAATGGGTTTGCAACTAGTCCATTTATAAATTTCTTCTAACTCAAAGTTAACTTCTTTCTGCTGAGCAAAATCCTCATCCTGCGGATCAAATCTAAAATATATTTGGATGTTATCAGCGTATCAGTGAATTTTACAATACCTTGGAACAAACTGGATACAGATAAATATATGGAGAACAAAAGAGGCCCCAAGATTGATCCCTGGGGAATTCTACTTTCTACCTTGTGTAAACTAGAAATTTATAATTTGTTAAAATTAATACGACACAACTGATGACGGTTAATTTTAAATAACTTTGAAACCATTTTAATCTTGAATCACCAACTCCATATTATGCAAGTTTCTCCACTAAATAGTTAATAGAAGAAATTCTTTATGAAGCTTAACTTTCACTATACTGTAATCTATGTTAGAAATGTTAGCATTGTCAGCAAAATTTCTAAACACATGTATCTTATTACAGACAGATTGTGCATTTATATCGCCACATGTAAGGGCCACAACTTGTTGTCTCCGTGCTAGGGCCATTTCGGTGGAGGAACGCGTTTCGATTTCTCTTCGATAATTGTTTTGAAGGACGACGTTTCGGAACCTATCTAACTTGTTACAAAGGGAGGCGGTATTCACATGCATAAGTGTTATACCCTCCGATTTTGGTTCACTCGCTTCTGAAAAACTTGTTGTTGACTGCTATTCCAGAAAGCCAGAATTTCTAGTCCATAACAATGTCAGTCATGGAGCTTGCAACGCTAATCTTGAAGAACGCGTATACACCTCAGGTTTCTCCTACAGGATTTTTTCAGACGACTTGATAGCAAAGAAATCAACAATATCTTGTATGGTTGTATCTGGACGGAGGCGGGTAATATAGAATTTAGATAGCTAAATTTTCGTTTTTCGTTTATCGTCTCGGCGTTTCTTACCAGTAACCAACTTAAATTTATTTTTGTTATCATCCTGAATAATACTTTCCCTAGTACCAGATCCAATTTCCGCATCATTTTTGTCGAGATATATAAGTTTGCTCATAATTCGTTGCTGTTTATCATGCATCAACTGGTAGTTGTTGTTTTTCTGGAACTCAACTGAAGAAACACCTGTTCTGATAAGGTTTTCAACAATGTTTGATTTGGGTTTTTCTACAATATCACAAAAATCTGCAGACTTATGGCAAACAATTTTCTTTATTAATTGAATTTTGTCCAAAATTTGTGAAAAACGTTAATTTACCAAGGCTACAGTTGCGCATATGTTCGACTTGTATCGAATAAAACAACAACCAAAAGAAATGCTATATAAAGGGCACTTTTGACGACCCTGGCGCCGTCTCCTCACTGACCTTAACTACTTCGGATCCTGGGCAGAAGGCAACACTGAAACCGAATAGCAATTCTTGACCACTTGAAGTTTCTCACTTTTTCAAAATTGTCAAAACTCTCGTCTTCGGGGTATTCGGAAACTCAATCCTAGTGTTCCGATGTCGTGTCAGTGCGGCTGTCACGGATTAACCCCTGCCTCTGGTACCCTTATTGCGGCTTCCAACCCGTCAAAATTTGCTTCGTTACAGTCTTCGTTATTGCAATAGTGTTTTGTAAAAACGTGTGATCATTTTGTGAAATACCAAGATTATATTCTGTTGAGACATTTTCTACGTTATCAGCATAGAAGTTGTCCAATCTTGGCAATTGGTTCGAATTTCTCCCGGCGGACAACGTTCTTATCGAAAGGTGCAATCCCAGCTTTCTTAAAACCATTTATGATTAGTGATTACAATTGATGGTGTGCTATTCCAAGCTTCTCTTCTTAGAGAATTTCTTTTTTGGGAGTTTACAACCAATGTTCTGCACTCACTATTTTAATAATTTCTCATCCCAAGTATCCTTCATTGATTTAATCTCAAATCTAAAGGCTGCGGTAAATGATCTCGTAAGACACATGAGTACTGAGTGTAACATTCGTATGTAAGACAACGATCTTGAGATGTTTTTTACACTTAAATGGTGTCGCTTTCGAAATGCCACACACTAATCAGATCGAGGGATACCATTTTCAAATGGGGTTTTAATATTGTTTTGTTTTATATAATCAGCCACTAATTTCAGAACTTCTTTTCTATTCAACTTAAGTACCTATTTTTCCATTACCTTTATGAAAGTGGCTAACTCTTCTTCAATGTCGAAACGTATAGCAGTTTTTCTTCCTTTGGTGTCTTTCAGAACTCACGTCAAATTTTCTATACGGGTGTACAAAGTAGTATATGGTATTCTATATCTTCTGGAAGCTCCGTATATTGTAACTCTGCCTGATTGTATCAATTATAGAGCTAGATGAAGAGTTGCATCATCATATTTTTTCTTTTTATCGTTTTTTTTTTCGCAATAACGAACCATTGTGAAGTCTATAAATAATAGGGGTAATTGCAATATGCTCAGCTACATGTAATACAGTTTATTCACAATCGGTCAGTCATGTGAAACTTTCAAACTTTGTAAAAGTTTGGAAGCGAGCTATGACATACTACTTCACTTCAATCATAAG